AAAAAGTAGGAAAGCCGGATTACAAGAAAACTCAAAGCAGAAAATAACTATGTGTATTAGAAAAGCATTTACAAAAGGAAAAAAAAAATTCACCAATCAGATGCCCAAACTTGGGCCGTTTTATATTTTTATTATTATGATTATTTTTGAGACAGAGTCTTGCTCTGTTGCCCAGTCTGGAGTGCAGTGGTACCATCTCGGCTCACTGCAAACTCCCCTTCCTGGGTTCACGGGATTCTCCTGTCTCAGACTCCCAAGTAGCTGGGATTACAGGCATGTGCCACAACACCCTGCTAATTTTTGTATTTTTAGTAGAAACGGGGTATCCCCACGTTGGCCAGGCTGGTCTCAAACTCCTGACCTCAGGTGATCCACCCACTTCTACCTCCTAAAGTGCTGGGATTACAGGCTCAAGCCACCCTGCCCAGCCTTGTGTGTTTTTTTAAACCACTTCATATATCTGGACGTTTTAGCAAAAAATGTAACTGTTGCTTTCCTTTGAACTATATGAAACTGTCTTTTTTTTTTTTAACCCTGAAATAATGACAATTTCAAGGGATCCACCTAAATATTTTCTTAAACATGCCACAGTGCTTTTGGTGATTTGGACAAAAGGTTAACAAAGGACAGAGAACCTTCATTCTCTGCATCCTCTCCTTTTCATCCACATTCTTTCCTCTTTTATTATTCGCCTCCTTCACTCAAGTGGGAAGGAGGAATGGGAAGGGACCCTGAGCAATCACCCGGAACCGGACCTGGATTTCAGCGCAATTTTAGGTTCCAGAGGTACACCTATTCCTCCACTTATAAAAATGTCAACAAACAAACAAAAACCTAAGGCTCTAAAAACAACATTTTATCTTCTCACATCTTCCCTTCCAGGGCCTTCTACTCCCATTGAGGTTCACTCACTCAGAGTGGGCTGAAGATCACATTTGAAAACTTAACTGGATCCCTACAAACGTGGTTGGATTTCTGAACTCCATAACCGAACTCATCACAAGTCACTTTTTACCTTTAACATCTATATTTTCCCACTGGTCCCTGAGCTGTCTTAACATTTTCTACCCACCTTGCTTTCTTCTAAAAAGCATTTTATTGAAAGATGCAAGTTTCCCAGTCACCTTCAGAAGTAGAAGAAACTACTGCACTGCTATCCTTTACCATTTTCAGAGAAGAGAATGCATCTAAGTGAACTATCCACATCTAAAGGAAACCCATCTATGCAGGAAGTATAAAAATACGAGGGAAAACCCTGTATTTCCAAACCATGACTATAATAACCAGGTAGTCCCTGGCCCCAGCTGGTGTGGCATCCAAAGACATACTGAAACTTTCTAATAGATGTCCAAGGTCAGACATTAGAAAAAGAAATGATGCCAACTGAAGGCAATAATGTAGGGAAAAAATCCTTAGAAGAAACACTGTCTCTACTAAAAACACACAAATAAATTAGCCTGGTACGGTGGCTGGCACCTGTAATCCCAGCTACTCAGGAGGCTGAGGCAGCAGAATTGCTTGAACCCAGGAGGCAAAGGTTGCAGTGAGCTGAGATCATGCCACTGCTCTCCAGCCTGGGTGACAGAGCAAGACTCTGTCTCAAAAGAAAAAAAAAAAAATCTGTGTGCACAAAATGCTTACAAAACTTCACTGCACCATTTCAAGCCTAACAAATGCTACATTTAATGTCCACCGCTAAGAAAATATATTAATTTCTGTAATGCTTTCATTTCTCTACCTTTCCTTCCATGAGGATTCAGTACATGTTCCGTCTACAGGATTACCGTCAGCCTGACTTCGAATACGACTGGGCTGGGGTGTAGGGCAGAAAGTTCAGGAATGTAGATGCAAAACTACAAAGCCTTGACCCCATCAAAATGAAACTAAGCATCTACCTAATACGGACTAAGTTATAAGATTTTTCTCTCTTAAGATTGTGCCACCCTTAAAAAATCGGCCTCTATTGGATTTCTTCCACAGAAACACTATATATTTTATATTGTATTTCTGGAAGCCCAGGCACAAGTTTCCCCCTTTGCTCTGAGTTACAGAAGTGTTTATCAAATTTTACAACACAGTCAATGGTACACTTAAGGACTGGTATCAACGCACCTATGATACACAGCAACTGAAAACTACAGTAACAGCAACTGTGTATAGCAATCCTATTGTGCATGTACATAGCTGATTTAGAAATTTTAAATAAGCTATTGTACTTAATATTCCTTCCAGCAACCGCTAGAGGTATAAAGTACATTTGTATCCTACTCAGAAGGAAACTGAGGCTCAGGAAGTTAAATAATTTCCCCAATTGATAAAGCTGTCTGTGAAGCTGAGATGCAAATCCATTACTTCCCAGTCCCAAAGCTTGCCTCTTTTCTCTCCTGAACTTCTCCTGCCAAGGTCACTCTGTGCAGTAACAGTGAATGCGAAAGCCCCCGCCCCGCCCACCCAGGAGAGGTATGAAGTGCTTGTTATTCAGCCACAGCTGGTACTGACCATGGCAGGCTGCAGTTCCTGTGAAGCCACATTCTGGCTTCTTTGGAAAAATTGACCAAACGTTTATATAAACATTTTTAACATACTGGCAGCAAGTCATTTAAACACACACGCACCCATGCACGTGTACACATACATACAACTCCTCATATGGGCAAACACAACATTTTTGAAGGACTGATCAAACACTCTGGTCCTTCAATTTATGCTGTCTGCCCTACGTTGCCTACTTCTCATTTATTATATCCACCAGGAAGCCATGCTATAGTCCAAAATTTCCAATGGAGCCATTATTAAGTTGATATTAGGGTTACATGCACGATGCAAATCAAAATTCTCCTCAAAACTACACATAGTTTTAGTTGACTGTAAAGAGCCACGAGCTCTCACAACAAAAGCTTCCATCTTACCCCATGTTCAGTACCTCCAAATGAACAATAAAACACCATCATGGCCACTAAGCAGGTCTAGTCTGTGGCAGTGACAGCAGCTCTTGGGTTCAATTAGCCCATGTTTTGCCAGATCCACGAACTAGTGAAAATTTCACAAAAGGTGGATGACAAAAGCAGAAGGCACCTGCAGGAACCACTATCTCTATAACCTTTCTCGTCCCTCTTTCCCCTTCAAGTTTGATGATCCGGCAGTTCTGGAACTCTTCCGAGAGAAGTCAAGACTCATTCTGCCAGCCCCAGCTGTTCAAAGCTCAGCCCAATCTGTTCCACAGAGTTGGCTGCATTCAAACAATAACGTGGCTACAGTTCACCTTCATTTGCTGCAAAGATCATTAACTATCCCTCAGAGAGATACAGTATTAAAGAAAGACAGTGCTCGAGGCATAATAAATGGAAGTTCCTGGCTATCAGAGTTCAAAAGAGGTAGGATGATGCCAGCAAGGCCACCTGACAGCTTCTACAGCCAGAGAAAAGGGAAGGAAACAGGGGCAGGAGGGAGGCAAAATCAGAAAGAGAAACAAGAAAAGCCAGAATGTGCCTGGCAAGCGTGTATGTTCATGTGAGAAGAATACAGAGGAAAAAAAGGAAATTTGAAATAAAAACAACAGGACATGGAATGCGAAGTCACAGCAGTGACACGATCCTGCCCGTCTGGCAGCTCGTTCTCTGACAGGTAGAAGTAAATCTGGAAGGAGAGTGAGAGCAGAGAGCATGAATTACAATCCTATACAGAAAGAACGCTGGATTCCAGACCTTTTTTCAGTACCGTAAGAGACACCGCATTCAATAAAACCTGTATTTAAATCACGTATGTGACCTCCCATTCATAAAACTGCTGAATTACCACGTAGAGTGGGCGTGTTTCTTCATTCAACTCATGCATTAAGTTATTAAAGTCTTGTGTTAGCCTTTCCGAGTCTTTTTCTCCAACCACTCCTTCCTTTCCCACCAACAAACCAGCCCTGTGAAAACACCCAGTGACCAGAATGGCCGCTTCATAGGAAGTTCTGTGTGTTTAACATAAATACCTGGGAGAGCTTCAGCGGATAATGTCAGCGTTAACGTCAATACTTGTTGTGAGTGAGTTGCAATTGTTATATTAATCCAAACTAAACTCCAGTCAATAACAGAGAGAGATCTGGTGGCTAAATGCGATTTCTAGTGGCAGACCTCACTGCCTTTCTTTGGAAATTCACAGGGTAATATAACCAAATAAACAAACAAACAAAACAAAAACAAAAGCTCCATACCTGACATCTTTACTATTTTCCTTTGTTGAATCAATCCCTAGAATAATAGTTTTCAACTGGGGGCAAATTTGTCCCCTACAGTACATTTCTGGTTGCCACAGCTGGGGAGGGGAATTACACTCCTGGCATCTAACTAGGGAGAGGCCAGGGGTGCTACTATATATTCTGAAAGGCACTGGACAGCTCCCCACAATACTGAATGATACACCCCTAAATGCCAGTAGTAAAGAGGTTGAGAAGCCCTGCCAAGAGTCATTTCAGGTATGACACTCCCTGTTCTGACATACGATACGGATTTTAGGAGGGGCAGAACGGGCGCTGTTGTGTTTTCTTTTGAGCAGGGCTCACTGCAGCCTTGACCTTCCCAAGCTAAAGAAATTCTCTCACCTCAGCCTCCTGAGTAGCTGAGACTACAGGTGCACGCCACCATGCCTGGCTCATTTCTGTAGTTTTTGTAGAGACAGGGCTTTATCATGGTGGTCAGTGTGGTCTCAAACTCCTGGGCTCAAGCAATCCTCCTGCCTCGGCCTTCCACAGTGCTGGGATTACAGACGTGAGCCACCTGCCTGGCTAGAAGCATTTTTAAAATTTTGCTATCATTAAAATACCTTCTCTCCACATGGTAAAACACTTAACATAAATGGAAAGGAAGGCTAAGGGCAGAAATTTTAACTGAACTTAGAATCCCAATGGAACCCTAGTAAATCCTAATACAGCACCAAACTTTGCACAAGCCTTCAACCAGTGATTATTTAAATGCTTCCCCCTGCCAAAAACAAACAAACAAACAAACAAAAAACATAGTCTGATTCAATTCACCTAGGAGGATGCCTCAGAATATATGCACCCAAAGACTGTAGTGTGAAAATTATATTTATAAAGAAGAAACACAGCCTTGGCTGCCTCTTATGAAGACACACCCACAGGCCCATCCAGTTATAACAAAACCAGAGGACTCAATGTTCAAGTAAATTGGTTCTATGTAAAAAGTCTCAGGTAATGCTCAAATTGGCATGAAATAAAGTAATTCACCTGAGGTGGGGATAGGGGAGGAGTTAGGAATTAACCCTTTCCTGAAAGAAGATGGACAATTCCCCCAACCACACCTGGAAACTAAAGAGCAGCCTTTGATGTTGTCATCTGTCTTCAGCCCAAAAGCTCTAGGGAGTTTACCTAACATTTACATGGCTTGGTAAAAAGTAATTTGCTCTGACGTAATTTGGTGTAAGCTCAGGTCGTGGCCCGAACTTGCCAAATAAACAGAACTGCCTGGGATTCTTCCCAGTGGTGCTGGCCTCCAGACTGATGAGCTTGCTCACCTGGCTGGCTCCCTTCTTCCCACTGATCCTCACTCATTTCCTCTGGGTTTTCCATGCGTGTGGCGGGCTACCGGCAGGGCTACATGCTTGGACTCTCTGGCTTTGCTGGATGCCTCTTGGCAGTTACACTTGGACTCCACAGTTCCTGGAGAGGAAGGGAGAAAAAAGGAGGTGCAGTCTTGAACAGGAACACAGCTGTAACCTCCCAGCCCAGAAAGAACATGTTTTGCCTTGCCGGGATGGGGAAACAGCGTTTGAAGTCTAGCCCAGGCCTCCCTGATGCAGATCATCCACCAGCTATTGTTCCAGCACGCATTTCCACTCTACATAATAGAGACACAATGACAAAAGGATTCATTCACTGACTATTGAACGTTCACTATACTCAAGGCGCTGGGAGCAGCGGAAAAATGTACTGGGGAAAGGCAGGGATGTGTCCTCACAGTAGAAGAAAATATCCAGAAAGAAATTTTTATGTGAACAGACTTTGTTTGGGCTAAATGTGTCCTGATATGTGAACAGAATATAAAATATAAATTTGGTAACTTAACTGATGAAACTGTCCATGTGTAATTTAAAAGAAAAACAAGGATCCAGTTTTGTTAAAATCCTAGCCACTTGCCAGACCTAACCCCCAAAGCTGCTTTTGTAAAGCACTGTTGGCAGAACTTCTCACTTGGGTGATAGAGATAACACCAGGTTATTAAGCTATGGTTTTAAAAGACAGAAAACTTAGCGGCAGGAGTACTGGATCATTTTTTATTAAAACCAGGTCAATTAAGGGAACCTTTACTAACCAATATACTTATACACATTGGAATGTGTTAAAAAAACCAAAATCCTCTCCAGTTCAATCCGAGAAGAAAAACATGCAACATTCAGCAATGAGTACTGAAAGTATTTTCAAGTCTGGGCAGAATTCTAGAAATTACTAAATTAACCAACGATGTACTTGTGTTGAACAGAACTCTCATCCTGAATGCAATTATATTAAAACTTCTGACAATTTCATCCCTCAACGTTCTAACCTTGGGTTGTCACAGGTTAGGGTAAGAACGAAGGACATATGGATGGGACGAGGAGGATGGGAAGAAAATACATACAAAAGCAATATTCACAATTCAGCAGTTTTGTACAATGACAGATCATTCATCTACTATTTTTTACTCATGAAACTAAATTCACTCATTAGCCAAAATTTATTGTTTATTGAATAAATTATAGAAATGTGAATCACAAAATGAATTATATAACAAAATGCAGGTTTTTATTATATGCCAAGATTAATGTATTTTCTCCTCATGTAAATTTTCCTGGAATAAATACACAGTTCATCATAATACTTCCAAATCATCTTCCTGTTTTCTTGAATTAGAAAACACTATGAGCAATATATTCAGGGGTGTGTGTGTGTGTGTGTGTGTTTGTGTGTGTACGCGCGCGCGCGTGCGTGTGTGCGTGCGCAGGCATTTTTGGCATCATGCTTATATAATGTTTTGGCACCATGTTATTTTATCTTACAAAATCATGTTTCATCTATCATTTACTAAACAAAGTTAGCAGTTTGAATTAAGTTGCTTAAATATAGTAACCAGTGTCAAGGAAATTTTGTTTACTTAAAAACATATTTTTTTGAATAAATATGGTGAGCACTACATTTCTGCAGGTTGCCTTGGAGAATGTAAATAAAACACTACCAGTTGATACTTGTCAATTACAGTCCTTTTGTAGTTTGTGGCACTTGTAATTTACAATAGGAAGATCATTCATTTTCCTAATGATTGTGGACAAGTATGCTGAATTTTCTATAACATAATTGAGGAGACAGTAAGTCAAAACATCTTCATTCTTCACTTAGCCATCTGCAAGGTCTCTTACAGGCACAAACTATGTAACATCACGTCAGACCATTTTTATGAGTTTCCCAGGACTTATAAGTTATTTAGACATGAGCATCTTGCTATCCTAAAACTCTAAATGAGCAAATTTAAACAAACAGAGGAAGTCACCACATGGAAAAGTTGGGAGAAGCAGAGATTTGGGCACAAAGGTAGTGATCAAAAATACATAGTCTAGTGGAATGGCAGAAAAATAGAATTTCCTGAAAAAAGTAAATACAAAAATGACATAGAAGCAAATGGCAGAAAACTTTCCATTCTTTTGGGTCACAGTAGGCAGCTCATTTCTTTTCCCATTCTCTCAGAATGGTTAAAGCCTGATATGGATAGGGGACGTCAGACTACCTACTGGGCAGGAGTACATGCTCACTACCTGGGTGACGAGATCCATACCACAAACCTCAGCATCACGCAATATTACCATGCAACAAATATGCACATGTACCCCCATATTTAAAATGAAGGTTTTTGAGGCCAGGTGCAGTGGTTCACACCTGTAATCCCAGCACTTTGGGAGGCCAAGACAGGCGAATCACCTGAGATGGGGAGTTCAAGACCAGCCTGGCCAGTATGGTGAAACGCCATCTCTACAAAAAATACAAAAATTAGCCAGGCACGGTGGCACGTGCCTGCGATCACAGCTACTCGGGAGGCTGAGGCAGGAGAATCACTTCAACTGGGAGGCAGAGGTTGCCGTGAGCCAAGATTGCACCACTGCACTCCATCCTGAGTGACACAGCAAGACTCCGGCTCAAAAAAAAAAAGGAAAAAAAAATACAAATAAAATAAAAGTTGAAAAAATAAAGCCTCATGTGGAAAATGCCTACATCTAACACAAATCTATCAAGCTAACCAGGAAAAGGGAGAAGAAAATGGAGCAGCAGCCACCGCCACTGATGTCATCCTCTAATTTCACATGGTAATAAACGAAGACTGACGGGGGGAACCCTCAGAGGTGGTGGCATTTCCTTCTCAGGTAAGCCAAGCTGGTTACAGTGATCAGTGTTCCCAGCTGTGAGACAATGATACTTACTCTGGCCTTTTCATATTCTAGGCATCTGAGCACCTTGTCTCCTGGGTCTTTCTGGCCCACTTGGCCGAATTTCTGTTCGTAACCACAGGAGGAATTACTCCTTCCCTCCTCTGTGGCCTTATAGAACTTCTGTAATTCTGGTAGCGCAGCACTTCTCAAACCAAAGGGACCGGCTGGGTACAAGTCCGTTTCTACCACCAGAATCCAAATGCCAGAATCCAAGGACAGATTCAGCATCTTATCTATCTTTTATCCTCAGGGTCTAGCAGCGGGTCTGGCATATACTAGGTGTTCAATAAATATCTGTAGACTAAACATGTGAGTGAAGAAAGAAGCATTTAAGTTATCCCAAACACAAAAAGAAAAAGACCAGAATGAAAATAATCATTTGTACATCTCAGCCCTCCAATCACTACACTTAAAAGAAATCTAAAGACAAGGTATTTTTAAATATAAAAAAATGTATCTTCCCAAATACAAAAAGATAAACTATCCCATGTAATTTTCACAAGGACAGTGAACACTATAAATTATAGCCATGAAACTCTGGTCCTTTGTGACTTACGTGGTATTTCCTTCAGTTCTACTCTTTCGTCTTTCCCAAGATTTGTTTTTCCATCCTGAGTGCTCCAAAGACAAAGACGACACAAGGACACCTATGTATATAGACACAAAATCTCCCACTTTCTGCAAACAGTTAGGGTCCCTATGCCCAGCTAAAACATTAAATTCCTGGAAAGGTACACAGAGAGCTGTTCCCAACTGTTCCAAATAACTAAAATCTACTCTCTTGCTATGCCTGGAGTTGTACTTTACTACAGTCCTGAAAATTGTGGACTACTTATAATTAATGAGAACATACGAGAGGCTTGGAAGTCAGTCAACTAAAAGCCAAGGTCAAGGTTCTTAGGGAGCTACCAGTTACTAACTGTAACTGGTTAGTACTGGTTAGTAACTGGTTACTTACTAAGTGGTTAGTACTGGTTAGTTACTAACTAGTTAGTATTGGTGAATAACTGGTTATTTACCGTAGGTTTTTATTATATGCCAAGATTAATGTATTTTCTGATCTAATTAATTACTGTAACTGGTTAGTACTGGTAACAGGTTACTTACTAACTGTAACTGGTTAGTACTGGTTATTAAGTGGTTAGTTACTGACTGTAGCTGGTAGCACTGCAGAGTGTCTCCAAAGCAGCACTGTAGAATGGCTGTGGAGCCAGAGGGCCTGGATTTGAACCCACACTAGCTTTGGGACCTTGACAAGTTATGAATCTTCTTCTGCCTTAACCTCTTCATTTTTAAATTTTAAAAAAGTGATGCATTCCTCACAAAGGTATTATGCAGAGTGAAAAAGTTAATGCAGGTAAGCACAAAGAAGCATATGTGGCATGCATTAAGAATTTAATGGTGGCGGGGCATGGTGGCTCACACCTGTAATCCCAGCATTTTGGGAGGTCAAGGCAGGGGAATCATCTGAGGTCAGGAGTTCGAGATCAGCCTGGCCAACATGGTGAAACACCATCTCTACTAAAAATACAAAAATTAGCCAGGCGTGGTGGTGCACGTCTGTAATCCCGGCTACTTGGGAGGCTAAAGCAGGAGAATCACTTGAACCCAGGAGGCGGAGGTTACAGTGAGCCGAGATTGCGCTACTGCACTCCAGTCTGGGTGACAAGAGCGAGACTCTGTCTCAAAACAAAAACAAACGAAAAAGAAATGAATAATGGTTAGAGGTAATATTATAGAATCACTTTCATATATCCTTGTCCTTTAAGTTATTACATTAGTAGGACATACCAGAAGATGAGAAAAAACTTCTCCTGAGCCAATTTCTGCCATAAAGTCACTGCCATTTGGGAAACATGTCACAGAAGGAAGTATAAGAAACCTGATCAGGCCGGGCGCGGTGGCTCACGCCTGTAATCCCAGCACCGTGGGAGGCCGAGGCGGGTAGCTCACGCCTGTAATCCCAGCACTGTGGGAGGCCGAGGCGGGTGGCTCACGCCTGTAATCCCAGCACTGTGGGAGGCCGAGGCGGGTGGATCACGCCTGTAGTCCCAGCACCTTGGGAGGCCGAGGCGGGTGGATCACGAGGTCAAGAGATCGAGACCATCCTGGTCAACATGGTGAAACCCCGTCTCTACTAAAAATACAAAAAATTAGCTGGGCATGGTGGCGCGTGCCTGTAATCCCAGCTACTCAGGAGGCTGA